TGTGGTGGCTGCTCCCCTACCAGCCTGGTAAGTGGGAGAGGGGACCCCACTACAGCCCCCCCATGCCTGGGGAGGATGAAGAATCCTTAGGAGCAGAGGTGAGGTTGCGAGGGCTGCTATGGCTTGGGGCTATAGGGGGCTGTATTGATGGTAGGTTCTGAGCAGGTGGGTTGGTGCAGGGAGGGTGAACTGAAGGCAGTGGGCTCTCTGGGGCAGGGGAACTGAACTGATGAGGTGGTGATGATGGGGGCTGAGGGACTGAACTGAGGGGGCCTGAATTAAGGGGGGTTGGCTGTGGACAGAACTGATGGGGGGTGGGGACTGAGGGACAGGATTAATTGCTGGGCAGGAGACAGGCAGATGTGGGGGTGAGAGCTCCTGCAGAGAGGCCAAAATCCCCTAATCCAGTACTTGTGGGAGATTGGGTGACATCAATTGGCCCATGCACAACCCTGGAGATGGGCAGGGGAAGTTCAGAAATCAAGAGACTCACCTAAAAACACAGGTTTCAGAGTAGCAGCCGTGTTAGTCTGTATCCGCAAAAAGAACAGGAGTACTTGTGGCACCTTAGAGCTGCATCCGAAGAAGTGGGCTGTAGCCCACGAAAGCTTATGCTCAAATAAATTTATTAGTCTCTAAGATGCCACAAGTACTAAAAACACAGTATGATCTTTTTAAAAATCTTATTATTTTGGGGCCAATCTCCTGATTTTTGGGGTCTGACTTATGAGTTTTGCTCTCTTGAAGTTGGCATTCCTGAGACTGTCACGGCATCATGCGCTGTCAGAGAAAGGCCAGGCCCCATTCGTCTCTCAGGGCAACAGGATATCAAACAATAGCAGTGTGTTATGTGCTGGTATCAACAATGGCGACAGAGAGTTCCTTAGAAACCATTTGTGCCAGCAGCAGCTGTAATAATGAGCAGCAGGTTCTAGTCTTTCGTAGCACATGGTCAGGGCAAAGCCTGTCTTTGGGTGTTAGTTATGGTTGTGATGGGGTGAGCTGGGACACAGAGCCCACCTGGGACCAGACCTGACTGGTGTGCACAGGTGCGTGATCTTTCCCTGCACATCTCCATTCAGAATGCTGCTGCAGAGCTCGCTTTCCTAGCCTGTGGCCTTGGTTTTGTCACCCCTCTGTTTGCAGCCCTCCACCAGCTTCCCCCTTCTCTATTGCCCTTCCCGGCCTCGTCGCCTCCCCACCGCATCCTATCATCTCTCATTCACTAGAATGATGTCTCCTCCCACCAGCCCAGGCTGCCCCGCTCCACAGTCCACTTGGTGCTTGCTTGAACTCGTGACTTTGTACTTTCCACCATGCTGCCCCCCCATATGGAAGAAGTTCCCTGTAGTCCCCTCCCCACCTCAAGCTCTCCCAAGTCCTCCTTCAAAGTGTCCTGTTCTGTGATACTGTCCTTATAGTGATGTCCATGGCCAATGCTAGTCTGGGTCAGTAGGTGGAAGGGTGCTGAAGGGTTGCCAGGTGTCTAGTTTTGGACCAGAACGTCTGGTCAAAAGGGGACCCTGTTGGCTCTGGTCGGCACTGCTGACCAGGTTGTTTTAAGTCTGGTCAGTGGTGCAGCGGGGGTCTGGGACTAAGGCAGGCTCCCTGCCTGCCCTAGCACCATTCGGTTCTCTGCATGGGCAGCCAGGGAGGCTCACCGCACTGCCCCCGCTCCCAGGGCTGGCTCTTATGCTTATACAAAGCATGCAAGATCTTTTACAGGGGAGAAGGCAACAATTAGCATATGCTTTTCAGTCACACATACACACACCATGCACACTGTCCCACCAGTGGATGTTATAGTTACTAGTCTGGATCAACCTAGTAGGGAGGAGCCTGGTTCCATTGGTCGCAACACAATGCTCTGGGGAAGTCTTGGCAGTACGAACCCAAAGTTTCATTGCAAGGTACCCTGTTTATATAGTGATTTTTTTTATTGGGTCCAATGAGTTTTGCTCCGCCATGCTGTAATCAATTGTTGTTTGACGAGTGCTTGTTTTCTTAAATTGTCCTTCTCATTCTTTATCACAGCTATCTTGTCCCCATTGAAAGGTGCCTGTCTCATCTTTAGAATCGTCAATCTCCCCTCCTCTGACATTTCAATAGGAGCCTGTTGCAGCCTCCTGGCGCCCTTGCATCTGTCTCTGGTTCCTCCCTTGTACATCTAGTTCAGTGATGGCCTTCACACTTATCTCTTAACACACATTCCTCATTCACACACAAAACAGAATTAATTTACACAGAACATTTTGAAGATAAACATCAAGTTGCAATGCAAAAGAAAGACAATAATTGCATTCTTTTACTTATTTTAAAATGCTAAACCTACAACAAATTGGTGACCCTCAAAGGTCTGTCACTGCCTTGAAATCAGTCCACACAGATTCTGGCTGATGTATCTCTACCAATGGCCCATTAGGCCATTCTTTTCTATTATTCAAAAAGGGTGGCTGGCAGGCTATGATCAAATCATACACCAATATATTTAATACATGCTACATTATTATTCTTTATCCTTCATTCTAAATTATATTAATACAAACATAAAATCCTACTACTACATAGCTCCACAGCTCCAATTGGCTGGGAAACTTGACCAATGGGAGCTGTGGGGGCGGCATCTGCGGGCGTGAGGGCACAAACACTGCCGGGACTCTGCACCCCAACCCCCTGCCCCAGCCCGGAGCCCTCTCCCGCACCCTGAACCCCTCATTTCTGGCCCCACCTGGAGCCCACACCCCCAGCCCAGATCCCATTTCCCCCCTTTCACACCCCAACCCCCTGCCCCAGCCCAGAGCTCCCTCCTGCACCCCAAACCCCTCATCCCTACCTCCACCACACCCCCCAGCTGGAGCCTTCACCCCTCCCCACACACTCCGCACCGCAACCTCCTGCCCCAGCCGTGTGAAAGTAGGTGAGAATGGGGGAGAGTGAGCAACGGAGGGAGGGGGGATGGAGTAAGTGGGGGTGAGGCCCTGGGGAAGGGGCAGGGCAGGGCAGGGGTGTTTGGTTTTGTGCCATTAGAAAGTTGGCAACCCTAGGGTGCCGTGTGAGCTCCTAAACTGGGTTTGGCTGGAGAGCATTGGATGCAGCATAGCCATCCTAGCACTTAGGGCTGCTAGGAGACGATTCCCTGCTCCTGCCCACACTAGGGCAGTATGAGAAGTTTGAGGAAATAAAATCATAGATTCTAAGGCTACACAGGACCATCCTGATCATCTAGTCTGACCTCCTGAACATTTCAGGCCACAGAACCTCACCTGCCCACACCTATAACAGACCCTAACCTCTGGCTGAGTCACTGACATCCTCAAAACATTGTTTAAAGACTTCAAGTTACAGAGACTCCACCATTGATACTAGTTTAAACCTGCAAATTACCCATGCCCCGTGCTGCAGAGGAAGGTGAACCCCCCCCCCCCAGGGTCTCTGCCAATCTGACCCAGGGGAAAATTCCTTCCTGACCCCAAATATGGTGATCAGTTAGACCCTCAGCATGTGGGCAAGACCCACAAGCCGGACACCTGGGAAAGAATTCTCTGTGGTAACTCAGAGCTTTCCCCATCTAGTGTTCCATAACCAGCCACTGGAGATATTTGCTGCTAGCAGTCGCAGATTGGCTACATGCCATTGTAGGCAGTCCCATCACACCATCTCCTCCATAAACGTATTGAGCTCATTCTTGAAGCCAGTTAGTTTTTTTGCTCCCCTTGGGATTCTGTTCCAGAACTTCACTCCTGTGATGGTTAGAAACCTTTATCTAATTTAGAGTCTAAACTTGTTGATGGCTAGTTTATATCCATTTGTTCTTGTGGCCCTATTGCATTGGCCCTTAACTTAAGTAACTCCTCTCCCTCCCAGGTGTTTATCCCTCTGGTGTATTTATAGGTAGTAATCATATCTCCCCACCTTCTTTTGGTTAGGCTAAATAAGCCAAGCTCTTTGAGTCTCCTCTCATAAGATAGGTTTTCCATTCCTTGGATCATTCTAGTCATCCTTCTCTGTACCTGTTCCAGTCTGAATTAACCTTTCTTAAACATGGGAGACCAGAATTGCACAAAATATTCCAGTTGAGGCCTCATCAGTGCCTTGTATAATGGTACTAAGACTTCCCTGTCTCTACTGGAAATACTTCACTGATGTATCCTTGGACTGCATTTGCCTTTTTCACGGCCACATCACATTGGCGGCTCGATTAAATTTCATCCCATTTCTATTACTCCAGCTTTCAAGGTCATCCAGATCATCTTATATAACATCCAGTCCTCCTCCATACTGGCAAACAAAACCACCTCCAGGCATAGGAACTCTCCCATGCTGACAATGCAGCAGTGAAACCACGTCCTGTGCCCCACACCTCCTGTGGTCATGGTCAGAGCCAGAACCCTGAACAGTTGTATCCTGAGTGTAACAGTCACCCCCCTTCACCTACACATGGTACAACCACCTGTGGGCTCACCCTGATGGGTAGCTCCACACAGGTTAGCGCGATGCACTCCCTGAACACGCACATACCTGGGTTACGATAAATCCATGTTATTGAACACCCGATGGCACTGTCTGCAGTGCTGGGATTCTCAGAATTCAGCTAAGCAAATGAACCCTTCAGAAGCTCACAGAAACGCTGAGTGCACATCACCAAAGCCTTCTGAGTCCTTTTCGAGTGCTTTATTTGCTATATTGCTTCTAGGCCACATTTGCTTAGTTCCCCGGCTCCACGCGGGGCTATGTCTCCCTAAGTCATGAGTGGTCGGTGGTGCATGCCAAATAATGGCCAGGGAAAGCTTCAATCAGACCATGGCTGACCAAGATGTAAAGTGGCTCCAAGCGGATGCACAGTTCCACTAGTGCCCGCCATGGCCATGGAGTTCGGTCAGTGGGACGCCCTTCCTGAGACCAGTGTTAAATTGCTTCCCAGAGCAGAAGGCTGGAGCTTCCTCCAGTTCACAGCCTGGGTAGTTGGGGCAGCCATAGGGATGCAATAAAGAAGATGCCCATTTAATGTTCTTTACAATATTTATGTAACTCATTGGAGTGATTTAGTATATGTCCCACGTTACATTCACAAAGCCATTTGGCTCCATATCGAGCACTCAAACATTAGGAAATGGCAGACTTCAGCTTGCTCTGCAGCTTTAATTGCCCGCCTCTTGTGTGTGTGCATCACGGTGCAGTCTTTAACTAGGTGTCGTAGTGAGAAGTGTCAAGCAACTGTAGCTACACCCACCACTGCCTGCTCTGCCTAGTTACTTTTTTTGCCATAAACACTTATGATCCTGCAGCTGTTTCTTCTCAGTGACTATATATAATTGGGAAGGCAAAGTAAAATGAGAATTGCCTCCATTAGCTTTAGGGTGACCAGACAGCAAATGTGAAAAATCGGGACAGGAGGTGGGGGGTAATAGGAGCCTATATAAGAAAAAGACCCAAAATCGGGACTGTCCCTATAAAATCGGGACATCTGGTCACCCTAATTAGCTTCTTTCTGCTTAAAATTACTGCCCATGTGTCCCGCTCCATGAATACTGTCCCCGTCCCCACAGCTTGTGTCCTTTCCCCTGTGATTACTGCCCTAGTGTTTCCTTCACCATTGTCTTCATCTCCTGCCCTCTGTCCAGACACCCGATTATCCAGCTCCTTGTCGCCCTGTGCTATATCCCCAAGTGACTCTGAATGTCTCTTTTGGGCCTCCCCTATCCCCTCGGCCTCTTTAAAAAGTCCCTTTCTCTGTCTCTCATTCATTTTCTTTTCCTTATGCTGCTGTTTCTCTTTTCCCCCTTGTTTCTTATTTATTTTGTCTCTTCTTTTCCTTCCCTTCCTGTTTTGTGTGGCTTTCCAGGTTTGGCTCAGTCAATTTTAAAGATTTTTTTGTTTTCAGATGCACTCGGATCACTTTCTAAATCACTTCCCCAGCCCGCCCCCATCTCCCCAATCACTCCCCACTTTCTAATTTTCTTTTGCTATAGGAGGCCAAGCATGAGAAACACTATATAGAGTAGCAAAAATATACTACATACACTACAGTATAAACTGTAGGAAAGAATAATATTATTTTAAGCGTCTGCCATGGCTGGTTCACATTGCACTAATCTCTCGCAGTTCAAATCCTCGTTCCTGCAATGAGACACAGAAATTGAAGTCAGTGTACTTCTACATCAGTTTTAGCATCCAAACCCTGTCCAAATGCCTGAGGACATTGCTACAACTCCAGTGTCTTCCCATTGCTAGTACCTGTACGGCTTCCTGGTGGTAGAAATTCTCAGAAAGACCAGGCATAGGTAGTTTAGCCACCTGTTCAGAGCAGGTCCAGATAACACACTGGTTAAAATGCTGGTGGACGCTAGCACTCCCGTCATTGTTACCACAGGGGAAGCTGCATTGGTGGTAGCTCAGAGGTCAAGTATTTGAAGAAAAATCTCTGTCTCTCGGGCCTTGTCCAGACTAACAAAAGCCCAGCCTCCACTGGGAGACTGTAAATGTTCATCAGTACTGGATGCTCTTGAGCTGGTGCTGAGAGGTTTAACTACTAGACAGGAAGGAGTGGGCTGTGACACTGAAGTCTCAAATGCTTTTTGTAGTGGGGCTGAAAAGGGCTTTGTCCTGTTTTCATGGACAACTAACCCACTTCAGCACTGATTTCCCTAGAGTGTCCAGGGCTAGAGCAGGGGAGAACTGGTGCTTAGATATCATGGCGAAGGGTAACAGGTTAAACTGCGAGAGAGGGACAGAGGCCGTCAGCCATCCTGGTACCGTGTAGGGTGGCCAGACAGCAAGTGTGAAAAATCGGGATGGGGGTGGGGGATAATAGGAACCTATATAAGAAAAAGATCCAAAAATCAGGACTGTCCCTATAAAATCAGGACATCTGGTTACCCTAGTACCGTGCAGTGTGGGGAGACCACTGAACGCTAGGTGGCAGCTCCAGAACATGTCACAGCAACACCCTCTGTTGGAAAGGAGCTAGAATCGCCCTTGCTCTGTCCCATTGTTGGGCACGAGCTGGGTTCTGCAGAGTCTGTTACTGCTCTGTTCCACATCCCTAGCACAGGGCACAGGGCACTGAGGTGCTGAGGCCCTGGCAGGAGCAGGTATTACATGAGCTGAGTTTGGTGTTGTTCCTAGCACACCTGGCTGGCAAAGCAGGCTGCTGCTGCATGCTGCCACTGCCCAGAAGCCACGCAGGCCTGCAGCAGAAGTTGAGCCCTGTCAGTGCCCTGTACCACTCTGTGCCTGGCTCAAGCCAGTGGGAAGGGCCCCCCACCTCCTAACTAATTTATTGATTTAGAGGGGGAATAGTCCACCCTTGTCATTCCCTGATTAAATACCTCCTGGCTCTCACCTCTGCTGCCTCTCTCCAATCTCCTTCATGTACTCATCATGGCCGGTTGTCACGCTGATGTAACTGAGCTTCTGCATCAGCCTGCAATTAACAGGTGTTGTTACATGGGCTGTTACGATACAGTCCGGTAAGTCATGTCCCTGCCTCTTTTGATGTCTGCCAAACGGGGCAGGTCAGATTCAAGTCCCTGAATCCCAAATCCACTTGGATGGTTTCAGTTAAAAGGTGTTTGTTTTCTGGTTCAGATGTGGCCAGAATCTTAGAAGAGAAGCTGATCTCACAAACATTTCCACCCTAACACTTGTGAGATTTCAGTGTCATTTTAACAGGGAGGGCTAGTGGCCAGCCAGCCCTGATTACTGAGGAGGCACACTTAAGCAGGGGTCACTCGATTCCCTTAGAAGAGCAGCAGGAAGCTGCAGAGTGAGGGAGTTTGCAGAGAGTAAGCTCCAGCAGAGAACAGAGGGACTTGAAAACTTTATTTTAAATGTTTGTTAATTTAATAACACAGAAGCTTAGAAGGGATGGGAAGGGACAAAGGGTTTGTGAATTATTGAGGAAATCTCTTGAAGGGGGAAACTAAGGCGAGGCAGGCCACCTACAGAGCAACCTCTAGCTATGACGGGGAAGCTGGGAGGAGGCCAGCCTGGTGACATTCATAAAATCAAGACAAGAGCTTTACACCTGATGGGGGCTTGACCCTGAACCCTGGTGCTGATGCAGCCTCATACCAAACCTCAAAGACTAGCCCTGAGGATACACCCACAACATGAATCTGAATCATAGCCTAAACCAAATCCAGCTCGGAATAGTACCTCCCTCGCCAGCCCCTAACTTTCAGTAATTGGCAGTGCAATGCTGGCAGTGCCATAAGCAAGGACCAAGCAGGTACAGGGAGCAGCCCAGGCAGTGGATTTCCCCTATGTACCTGGTATGCTAAACAGCACTGACATGGTTAATAGAAAAACATGTGATTTTATCTGGGTGCTATTGCACAATAATATCTTGGACACTAGAAAGTAATGCAGAATACAGAGCAGGGAAAGTATTTTATTCAATGGTTTAAAGCACTATATACATTTATGAAAATATTATTAGTGATCATTAATTATTGACTGATTATTAACAAAGCTCCCCAGAGCAACCTAGCATCCTTTGTAAAGAGGAATTTAAATCTGGTCTGCTAACAGCGAACACCTAGGTTAGGAGAGACCGACAGTTACAGAATGCATACAGAAAGGGAAAAAGAAAGAAAGATACATGCAACAGGTCTAGGATGATGATTTTTTTCCATGGCAACTACCTAGATAAAATGAAACAGCCACAAATTAGAGTAATTCCAACTCTTCAAAACACATTCACTCTCATTCACTCACTCACTCACTCACGCTCAGTAATAAAAAGGGGCTGCCCCAGCATTACATACCATTCTATGAATCTGTCTAGCTTGCTGTTGGAATCTGATCCACTGCCATCTATTCGTGAAAACAATCACAATTGAGAAGTTAGATTTTATTTTCTTGCCATGTAACGGAGCTGGAGTCATTAGACAGTAAGGAACAGCTGGGTTACCTGTCACACGGCTTGACATTACAGACGTGTCTGCTGCACTTGTTTTCTGTAGTCTGAACTGTAGTCAAGTGGAATGTTTTATGGCTCAGGAGCTGAAGACAGCCTGGCTAGCACCTCCCCCTTGGGGTTCATAGTTCCTCCTCTAACTTTCCTCGAGTTGCAAAGGAGCTGTCAGCACTGGACAGGTGTGCTCCTTCTCAGTGAACTGCACTAGGAAAATGAAGGCAAATTCACTGATTTTCACTTCTTCTTCTTTCTCTTCCCCCATACACCCCACCAAACGTGCTGCCCTTCCCCCCACCACATCCACTAGCCTTCCTGCATCCCATCCCTCCAAAATGCCACAACTCAACCCTTTCTTCCCACAGCCAGTTCCTATTCTGCCTTCCCACAGCAGCTTCTGGTTCAGTCCCTTAGCCCCAGGTTGCTCTCTCCTGGGTGCTGGCCTAAGATGACACTGAACTAGCAGCTGGGAGGCAGCTTACAGGCGGAATGTGTATGGCGTGAGAAGGAGAACTTCAGAGAGCAAAGAAGTAAGGTGAGGCAGGAGCCCTTCCAGGTCAGGGTCCCCCACCCCTTGCTGTGGCTTTTGCAGAAACACTCCGGGGCCGTTGTACTCATATCTTGGTGGAGTAATCTGGCCCCTGGACTTCCAGAGAGTCTTGGATTTTTGGGTTCTTTATAAACAATATAAATAATGAGTCATTGGGCCAGAGAGAGATAATGACTCTGTTGCCTAGTGGTTAGGGCACCCACTGGGAAGTGGGGGGACCCAGGGTCCAACCCAACCCCCTGCTCCAGTGACTAATTATTTAGACGCAGCAGGAGAGATTGATAGGACCCCACACCAGAGTCTCCCATCGCCCAGTGGTTAGACCACTCTCCTGAGAGGATTTGAACAAGGGTCTCCCTCCTTTCTCCCCCTCTGGCAGAGACAGGGGACTTGAATCCCAGTCTCCCACATCCCTGGTGAGTGTGCTACCCATGGGGCTAACAGTTATAAGGTTGGCTGCAGTAGCAACCTCCACCCAGCCAGACTTTGAATGGGACCCAATCCAGCAGGCAGCCTCGGGGCACACCCACTAGCCCAGGCCCTAACAAGACTGATCTTCCCCCAATATGTGCATTGCTCTCAGGCATAGACAGGAGATAGGCATCAGGATGCCCAGAGGGAGGCAGCAGTGTGTGTGCTCAGAGGCAGAAATTGAGGCACCAAGGGAGTTTTGTGAACTATAGAGGAGCTTAAAACCAGGACTTAAGCACCAAAATTGGCCACCTGAGTCCCTTTGTAAATCTAGGCCTTCCTCCCACTGTACCTCACTGCCAGGGCTGGCGCAACCCATTAGGCAACCTAGGCAGTCGCCTAGGGCACTACAATTTGGGGGGCGGCAACCGCGGCGGTATTTCAGCGGTGGGACCTTCCGCCGCCTCTGTGGGGGTGGCATTTTGGGGCGGAACCTTCCGCCGCCTAGGATGGCAGAAAAGCTGGTGGCACTCCTGCTCACTGCCCCACCTGCAAAGTGAGACACAGCATGTCCCCACCTCCTAGGCATGCGTGAAGAGTTGACAGCCATAAGGTGGTCATATATGATGTTCCTGGTGCCTCACAGGTATCTTAGCTAGGTCGGGTCTCAGCAGAGTGCCCTGCCTACATGTCAGATGTACTTAGGGAGTGCCAGCCTCAGCATCCCTGCTGGGTGAAAGCCAGAAGGCAGAGGCTATTTCTAAGCTGCACAGGGCACCATCCACAAAGGGCTTTCTAGCTAAAGACCAAATGACTTGAACTGTACCAAAAACCACCTGGGAGCTCGTGTGACCTACAGTGCTTGCCAGAGTAGCATGTTCTAGGCAGAAAATACTGCTAGGTAAGCAAGCAAGCACATTCCTCACTAACCAAACTTTCCAAGTGTGATCCTAGAGCAATCACATTTGGAGACCATTGCAGTAATCCAGTCTTGAGGGCAAAATAGGTAACTTGTGAATTTCACCTCCATATAAATCAGGAGTAATTCTGCAGCTGTATGGCCAGTGTTAATGAGGCACTTAGTGATTGCCCTTAGTCCCAAGGTATCCACCAGTCAATGCGGCCAGCAATGTGTCTGTATCACAGCCAGGCCTGAAATAAGATCATAAGCGGCTGAGGATGTTAGGTAGGGCCAGCTCCATCCTACCAAAATCTTCTTGCTAACTTTCACTGGAAAAAGAAGATTGAGACTGATTTGTGTCAAGAGCAGCAATACCAAGAACATGGGTCCAGCAATCTTTTAGTTTCCTGATCATCCTTTAGTGCTCATTTATAATGTAAAGAAAACATCTACAAAGCATTCAAACAATTTATTTTACTGTAAGAATTTTTAAAAATGCAGCTTTCCATGGTGGCTGGTAGCAAAGTGGCTTAGATTGCTGGGGAATGGAATAATTGCTGTTTCTTACGTCCATCAACAGGAGCAGTTACCTTTTCAAGAGATGCGTATACAGATGCTGCTGCCCTAGTTGTTATAAGGAAGATGTGCTGTATGTCTCATAGTCTTTGCATGTAGGGTATGTTTGTATTCTATAGGGATGTGTTTATACCAGCAGAATGGGACCCAGAATACACCACTGGTAATAACAATACTGGAAATTATAAAATAGCCAGCTCAGGAGTTTTTGCCATTATTCACTATTTACAAGGCCAAGCATGTAAGGCAGTTGTATGATTGGGCAAATCACCATATTATGCAGTTTTAAAAGTTGCTGCATAATTATACTCCACAGTTTAACCTTTGATTTTTAAAAAATGTCTCCTGCCATTTTGGTTGCAAACATCGCCTTCAAAATATAAACTGATTGTAAACCAATTCAGTGACATCTGCCAGAATCTGCAGACATACAGCCAGACAAAATTGCTCACGTGCAAGCGTGAACTCTTCCCCTTCATTGCCATGTGGTGTTAACACTGAAACAGAATGACGAAGATATAAAGATCAACAGATTGCTAACTATTGAACAAAAAATCGAGCTAACATGCTTGTCTATTGCTGGATGTCATGACAGATATTTGAACAGGTGCAGAGGGACAGCTAGCTGTTGTCAGGAGTTGCTAGGATGGAGAATGAAAAATTCAAACCCCTCCTCCCAAAATTTAAAGTCATGTATAGGAGTGTGTCTTGTCCAGAATTTTAAACTGTAATATACTGCTTTCTCCTGTGTTACATCTCCCAGCTGTGCAATTGTTTGTCCAGAGAATGGGATTGGCTTTTGTTTTTTGCTTTTATCAGATGGAAACATATCATCTTTGTGGGCCAATTCACTCAACTTGGGCTCTGTTCCCCAAAGGAGGTTTGTCAGTTGCCATGATGGATTGAGTATCTCTTTTCTTTTTACATTGATGCAAGTTTTTTTCTTACCTAAATGGTTTGACTAATAGCAGGAATTTCTTCCCCCCTTTTCCTTCCAACCCTCTTCACTGTCTTCGATTGAAACTTAATCCAGGTGGATGGTGAATACACAGAACCTTTACTCATTCCTCCAGCAAGTGATGCCCTAGTGTAGAATATCAGGGTTGGAAAGGACCTCATCTAGTCTAACCCCCTGCTTAAAGCAGGGCTAATCCCCAGACAGATTTTTGCCCCAGATCCCTAAATGGCCCCTCTCAAGGATTGAACTCACAACCCTGGGTTTAGCAGGCCCATGCTCAAACCACTGAGCTATCCCTCCCCCCAAATAGCTACCCTAGAGCTGGAAGGTGTCAGTTCAAGCTCAAGGAGACATACCAGTACCAGCTCTGATAGAGCTAGTGTGCTAACAATAGCTATGTAGCTGCCATGGTGCGAGGGGCTAGCTGCCCCAAATAGGCGCCTAGAGTCTCTGAAGGGATAATACCTGGGGCATAGCCCCTCTCACACCATTGCAGCTGCACTCCATTTTTAGTGTTCTGGCTTGATCAGAGCTAGCCAGGGTACTGCTCCTTGAGCTGGAAATTACACCCTCCAGCACCAAGTGTAGGTGTACCTATCATTAGCTGAGGGCACAGGAAAAGAGCAAATTACTGCTCACACCCTTGAACAAGAAGGAGGCAGGGAGGAAATTATGCCTCACGTGGCATCTGTCACAGCTCCTCCTGGGCTGGTGCAGTTCACATTCAACACTATACTCAGGGCTATGCCTGAAAGCTCAGTCTAACCCGATACAATCTGAATGCAGAAAGGAATCAACAGAAAGGCCCCTTCACCAGGAACAGCTGCAATGGGCTGCCTTCAAGGTGAAGGAAAAGGTGAAGGTTTGGTTTCGATTTTTCTAGAGCACAGCGACTGTTACCAAAGCTACTGCAGCCCCAGGCTAACTTCAGCAGCGGCTATAAAGAGTGAACCAGTTAGTGTTGCTAAACAGGTTTCAGACATTTCTGGTGTGCTGCAGACATCATGGCTTGCTATGCACCCTGCAAGGAAGCAGCAGGGCGTATATATATATATATATACAGTGAGGGAATTTACATGTGGTCATGAGAACTATGGGAAAATATGGTCACCCAACACAGTCTACTTTGGACTTACCTATCTTGAGTAATTTTGTATCATCTGCAAACTTAGCTACCTCATCGTTTACCCCTTTTTCCAGATCATTCATGAATATGTTGAATAGTACTGGTCCCAGTACAGACCCCTGGGGGACACCGCTATTTACCTCTCTCCACTCTGAAAACTGACCATTTATTCCTACCCTTTGTTTCCCATCTTTTAACCAGTTACTGATCCATGAGAGAACCTTCTCTCTTATCCCATGGCTGCTTACTTTGCTTAGGAGCCTTTGGTGAGGGACCATGTCAAAAGTTTTCTGAAAGTCCAAGTACACTATATCCATTAGATCACTCTTGTCCACATTTGTTGATCCCCTCAAAGAATTCTAATAGATTGGTGAGGCATGATTTGGAGGAGGGGGGATGGAGACAGGTCCTGGAGGTGGAACAAGTCCTGGCAGAAGCAATCCCTTCCCTAGTTCCTGCTCTGGCAGCTGCTAACACTTTCCCCGTTGTCTGGCCCTAAGGTAAATTTAAACAAGATACAACGCTCAATGACTTCTCAGCCAATGAAAATGAGGGATGGGGAGACCACGCCCCATGTGAGTTCCGCGCCAATGAAAATGGCGGATAGGGGAGATC